TACAAAAAGTCTCTGTTTCTACACTTGGCATCTGAAAAATATTTAATGAGCTTCTTCAACTTTATCTTTTTAAGAACACTGCTCTCTGCATCCAATAGGCACAGAGCACTTACTCTTTCATGGGTCATCACTATTCTCAGATAATCCCTTATTAGTATCAATTTGCTGAATGATTCATCTCCTGTGACCATCATGCTCAAATATATTTCTTACATTAACACTTGGAAAGGTATCAGTGAGTCCTTCATTATGGAGTAAAACCACCTGTTGAGATGGAGTGAGCCATGACTGAGTTTGGCAAAGGCTGCAAACTGGACAATTTAATCTCTGAGCACCTTACTGGAATCATGGGGGAAAGCAATGATTAGTTTTTCAGCTTCAGTTTTTTTTCCTTCTGCATTAGGTAGACAACATAAATTGACTATGACATTGAACCTGTTATACACTGATTAGTTTTGTAAGGCAACAGACAACTGATCTAAAATAAAATGGAAAGTTCCATATCTGATTTCTTTTCTTGAGGAAAGGACAACTTTCTCTGAGACTGACGTTGGATTCACATCGTAATATTTGTTCCTCATTCTTGGCCTCCCTGTAGTTGCTTTGTAGTCTGTGTTGCCACAGAGATTCCTGGCATCCAGTTCCAACTCTTCATATCTCTCCCAAAGTGATTTCAGAAATTTATCCAGAAAATAAATTAGGTACACCACTTTCTTCAGGTCAACTTCATTCCTTGAATAGTTTTTTGTGTGCTGTTGAACCATTCAAGATTTAAGTTCCAGATCTTGGCCATCAGAGCAGTTTCAAGACAATCCATTTTGTCTGCCAATATCTGAGCTTCATGTCTTGCTTCAGGTGTTTTTTTCCAAATCACGTTCAATATCTTCGAGGGCATTTTGAATGCAGTTGTATCCATCTATAAGGCTTCAGTAGCATCAGCTCTTGCTAACCAACGGGTATCTGACAGAGACTTCACAGTTAGTACTCTTTTATTCCCTTCCAAATATTCCATTAGATTTGCCCATCTGTGAGATGATGAACAGAAGAAGGAGTATAACCTTTGTATGAAGCCAAAATAGCTGCCAGCTTCAACATAGCAAGAGGCAACAGACTAACAAGATTCAATGAGTGAACAGCACAGGGAATGAAAGCTGCTGCTGCATTATTTCTCCTATGTCTGTGTAGTGACCATAGGACTGCATTGTCATAGGACTGCCCTGTGCCATCTTCATAATTAATACCTTCTTTTCCCAGAAATTCTAGCAGAGAGCTCTAGCCAGAATTTTAGCCTTGTGAGAACCAGTCTACAAGAAAGTTTAAAAACTTTCTATTGGCTTCCCAGAAACCAAATATCATACAATGACTATTAGCTGGTCAACATGAGTTACGTCTGGTGTTGAATCTATGGAAATTGAGAAGTACTTCACAGTTTTCAGTTCTGCCACAATATAACTCTTAAGATAGTTTGCCATCATCAGAACAATTTCTTCATAAGTGGTTGGTGATAAATAGGACTGCTTACCACTTCCAGGATTGCCAAATTCTTTAAGGTGGCCCATCAGAAATGGATTAAATTGTGCAATCCATAACTCCTTAAAAATTCCCATTAAGCTTGGATCCTATGATCTCTTCACTAAATATCTGGCCTTTCTCAGATAAACAAAATTGTCATGACCACAACATGGCACAATACTTAGTCCAGTATTTCTTGTTTTCCTGCAGTTGTTTTTCCAACTCCCTGTCTGTCAACATGAGAAAATTCCCTACATTGTGAATTGAACTTCAGCACAGAAACTCTATGGCCTTGATGTTGTTCATGAATGCTCATTTTTATTTCTGCTTTTTTCCAGTTGTTAAAGTGATACTGGAAAACCTGTCACATAATCTGCACATCAAAGTACCATAAAAGAAATAAACAGCACACGTCAATTGGTTGTACAGGCCTCTTTCTGAAATGGTGCTCAGCATTGTCATGGGTAGTGTAAAACCATGAATTCTTGAAATAATGACAACGTCCATCCAGTTTGCCTTGATCTGATTGAGATTCTGGGTAGGAATCAGAATCATTTTTTGTTTTGATATATCGCTTTTGATCAAAAGGACACATGCTTTTCTCTGACAGGAAACCATGTGGATGGGTCTGGATCACATAATGGCACTTCACTGTCCATGTCTAAAATATCTGTAGGATGTGATGACCTTCAATATCTTGATTTGATATGATCCTCTTATTTTCTGCTCATGTACTTGAGAGAGTACATGATTCTTCATCATTACCTTTTATGTTTTTCATTGATGAAGCAGAGAAAAATTCTGTGAGGCATTTTGTCTTTGCCAAGACAACAGCATTTCTTTCTTTCCTTTCTTCGGAAACCTTTCTCTTCTGAGCCCCAGCTGAATTGTCTGTGGCATACTGGGTCTCCTGTGTGAGAATTAATGGCCATTGTGAAATCACGCACATAAGGAATCATAGGCTACCTTCCTCAAGGGTGTAAGCACTATGTGTGGTTCACTTTAGCTCCAAAATTTGTTTAAAATTGATACCATATACTGTATCCAGGGCTAGATTAAGACCATTAGCACTGAAAAGATTATGGTGCCATCTGCCCATATAACATGTAGTGGACCCAATGGATTGAAAAATACTTATAATGTACATATTATATGTATGCAAATGTGATAATTTAATTGTATAGCATGTGGCAAAAAAACCACATATCATATACAAAACCATACGTACAATCAAATTACTAGATTCCAGTTAAATCATGCGCTTTCACACTTTGATTAGTGTAGACAGATTTTGTCAGAATCTGTAAACTGCAAAGCTCAAACGAGAGCTTAAAACCCCTTTGGGGGCCTTTTTAACAGTGGCTTTTATTTCTTTAGCTTGCATATATAGGCAGAGGCCATGGGTCTAAAAAAATCAGAAACTCTTTTTAACCTTATCACTACCAGACTCCCGAAACTCATGCTTATTTTGCTTAGTGGTTAATTCAGGCACTTTTGCAAGCAATGTATTGTTTCTCAATATAAATTTTAATAAAACAAACTAAATTTTAATTATTATATTTTTGTATAGAGGGCTGTCCTTCTGGTAGGGCAGTTTGGGGCAATGACCTTCCTTTCCCATCATAAATCCAGCACTGCCTCCAGGCAAATGTGAAATACAAAGAGAGGGGATAGGATTGCAGCTTCAGATAGATAAACAAATAGTCAAGGAGTACCATACTATTTTAAATAGATTCTCAGGACCAGACGAACTGCATCCAAGGATATTGAAGGAACTATCTGAAGAGATCACAGAACCACTGTCTATTATTGTTTTGAAATACCAGTGAAGTACGAGATGATCAGAGGAGAATGTACATTGTCCAAATCTTCAAAAAGGGCAAAAAGGAGGAACTGAGGAACTACAGACTGGTCAGCCTGACATCAATCCCAGGGAAAATTATAGAGCAGATTATGAAACACTCACTGTGCATGCAGCATACAGACAATGCAGTAATAACAAGAAGCAAACATTCATTTGTCAAGAACAAATCCTGCCAGACTAATCTTATCTCATTTTTTGATCATGTAAACTCCCTGGTAGATGGCGAGAAAGCTGTAGATGTAATATATCTTATCTTTGTCAAAGCCTTTGACAAAGTACCCCATGATGTTCTGATTAGCAAGTTAATTAGATGTGGTCTGCATAGAATAACTTTCAGAGGGATACACAGTTGCAAAATTGTACTCAGAGGGTGATGATTAATGTCTCCTCAAACTGGGAGGAGGTAACAAGCAGGCTACCCCCAGGGCTCAGTCCTGTGCCCTGTGCTTTTCAACATTTTTATTAATAACTTGGATTAGAGAGTGCAGGGAATACTTACCGAATTTGTGGATGATACAATATCGGATGGAATAGCTAATACCTTGAAAAGCAGAAACAAAATTCAAAAATATCTTGATAGATTTGAACACTGGGCTGAAAACAAGAGAATGAAATTTAACTGAGATAAGTGTAAACTTCTACACTTAGGGGGGAAACCAAATGCACAGTTACAAGGTGGGAGAGACTTGTAGATCAAAAGCTGAATATGAGCCAACCATGTGATGTGGCTACAAAAAAGACCAATGGTATTTTAGGCTTCATTAAGTAGAGTCTCTAAATTCCAAAAGGTACTAGTTCTCCTCTACTCAGCACTGGTTAGGCCTCATCTAGAGTACCGTGTCCAGTTCTGAACACTTTAAGAAGGATGGCAACAAACTAGAGCAAGTTCAGACGAGGGCGATGAGGATGATCACAGAACTGGAAACCGAGGTCTATAAGGAAGGACTGAAAGAATTTGGCATGTTTAGCCTCGAGAAAAGAAGACAGAGGGGAGATAGGATAGGTACAGGTTCTGTACTTGATCATCCCAGAGTGCAGGACTCGTAATAATGGACTCAAGCTACAAGAAGCCAGATTTAGGCTGGATATCAGGAAAAACGTTGTAACTGTTAGAGCAGTATGAAAATGGAACTGATTTCCTTAGGAGGTGGTGAGGGTTCCAACGTTGGAGGCATTAGGAGAAATTGGCCAACTCTGTCAGATCTGCTTTGACTTGGATTCCTACCTTGAGCAGGAAGTTGGAACTGATGGCCTTATACAGTAGACTTCTTCCAACTCAAATATTCTATGATTCTATGAGTTATATTCCAAAAAGAAACTTCTCTGAGTTCTAGTCACAGTGTATGCTAAACATAGAGTATAACATAGAATGTTATTAATGGTAGACATTTGCTTCAGTTAGGCTATCACAAAATTCTACTCTGTTTCTGTTTATTTACTGTTTTACTGTTTCTCTTTGAAGACTGAAGATTTTTGTAAATGATTTGTTGCAGTTTATGTCAGGAGTCATCCCATTTGTGCTTATCTTTAAATTTCACTGATGTTTTCCTGCAGAAATACATTATGCTATGAAAACTTTTAAATTGTTGTTAAAGTATCTGTGGTTTATTCTTTCTTATTACAGCATATTGTTTGCAGACATTGTGGGTTTTACCAGCTTGGCATCTCAATGTACTGCTCAAGAACTGGTGAAGCTTCTGAATGAACTTTTTGGGAAGTTTGATGAATTAGCAACAGTAAGCATATTTTATCTCACTTGAAAATTTATTTGGAACTGACTTGTAAATGATAGCTTCTGTGGGAGTTAGGGGAGAATTATTCATTGATGAGACATGAAAAAATCTGAATGAGGTCAAGTAATCATCATACTTTCCTAAAGCTGCTAGGAATTTATGACATTGATTTATATTGGCCAAAATCTTGTTTAAATTATACCTGGGTTAGAGATCCTGCTTCTGACCCATAGTTCATCTAATTCACGTGTAAACAAGTCATTAGAGGTAAGAACAGATACAAGAAATGTTTAATTACCAGCAATCCCCCTATACTATATGTACTCAGTTCTTAAAAACAAAAACGTGGTGTATTGTGCTTCTGTATCCATGAATCAAACAGCCAGGAAAGGTCCTGATATTGCTGCATCATGTCGTTTCCATATTGCCAGCACAAAAAAGTTTGCTAAGCTTTACATGGGAAAGAGTAGCCTACATATCCACAACACCAAAGGCAGCAATCAAGATAATCTAAAGAATATCCTCTTCTGCTCACTACCAAAAAATAGCCATGACAATTGCTTTATGTTTGGGTAAGAAATGGTTAACTTCTTTTTAAAAGAGTCAGCTTTTGGAATTTTCTCTTGCTTGATGTCTCTATACGAATGTTAGTAAACACAGAAAGGTATCCTCTTTAGGCTTCAGTGACATAAAAATAAACCTATGACAGATTTTCCATTTAAAACAAAAACAAAACAAAAATTGGAAAAGCTATACAAAAATATTATGCCATTATATAGGCCAACAGATTTATTTCACCATGAATTTTCATGGATTATGCCAGAAAGATGAATAAGTAGGTGCCAGAGCATATCAAGCCTGAACTTTCTCTGGAGGCCATGGTGGTTAAATTAAGGTCGACGTACTTTGGGAATAGGGACGTGGTGGCGCTGCAGGGACATGGTGGCGCTGCGGGCTAAACCGCAGAAGCCTGTGCTGCAGGGTCAGAAGACCAGCAATCGTACGATCGAATCCATGCGACGGAGTGAGTGCCTGTCGCTTATCCCAGCTCCCGCCAACTTAGCGGTTTGAAAGCATGCAAATGCAAGTAGATAAATAGGGACCTTCTCAGCCACACAAGACACTGTTCCAAGACGTCCATACAGAGCACGATACCATAGTCTCTCGAGACTGAAGGATGCCTACATGAAATAGTGACCACCACAGTGGGAAGGTAACAGCGTTCTGTGTCTAAGTCGCACTGGCCATGTGACCACGGAAGATTGTCTTCGGACAAAATGCTGGCTCTATGGCTTGGAAACGGGATGAGCACCGGTGCACTCTAGGATGAGCACCCTAGAGTCGAACACAACTGGACAAAAATTGTCAAGGGGAACCTTTACCTTTACCTTACCTTTGGGAATATCATGAGAAGACAAGCTTCAGGGAAAAAGCAATAATACTGTACTGGGAATAGTTGTGGGCAGCAGGGAAAAAAAGGAGACTAAATATGAGATGGATTGACTCCCCAAAGTAAGTCAGAGACTTTAGTTTACAAGAATTCACAATCACTCTCAGTTTTCTTCCTTGTCTTGCATGTAATGAGTCTTATTATATGTATGTCAGATAAGCTGTGGGACAGAAACTCCTTATATATAGAAAAATCTTCCTTGCTGGTGACATCCTACCTTTATGTAGAATTTATTTATTTATAGATGGATTGACTCCCCAAAGTAAGTCAGAGACTTTAGTTTACAAGAATTCACAATCACTCTCAGTTTTCTTCCTTGTCTTGCATGTAATGAGTCTTATTATATGTATGTCAGATAAGCTGTGGGACAGAAACTCCTTATATATAGAAAAATCTTCCTTGCTGGTGACATCCTACCTTTATGTAGAATTTATTTATTTATTTTATAGCGATCCTTAAAAGGATTGCTTAAATCAATCTGTAAAAACTGGAAGAAGAAAAAAAGCATAGAGGGCATTTTAGAAATAATGTATTGCCAATAGTCTCATTGCCACCCCACCCTAGAATAATGACGTGAGACACAAAGTGATGGGGTAAACCAGGGCCATGCTTTATTAAATCTGATAACAGAGAGGGGCTTGCCATAGTGTGGAATGAGTATAACTGAGTCTCACCGGACCCTTTTTCTCATGAAAATGGGTGAGTCCCCTGCCCTGAGTTTGTGCAGTCCTATACACAGTGCAATCCCAGCCTGACCACCCCTGGACCTCAAGCCCCTGATTCTGTTGGTAGCCCTCTGTCTGGGTATGGCCCCAGCACATCCTCTCCCCCCCCCCCCGCCGCATGCTGTAATCTCACAATCCACAGTGCTGGGAGGTTGGATGAGCTGTAACCTTACTTGTCCTTTCACCAGGACTTACCGATCCAACTTCATTCTGCACTACTCGCCACGGCACAGGGACTAGCCCAGCTATGTCCCTTGTCTGCTGTGACATTCCACCCAATGTTCCCTGTTTGTTTTTCCCAAACCAAGGTTCACTCTCACGACATTTTCTCTTTCATTCGCGGCCACCAGTGGCTATCCCTTAGTCACACTTGCACAATACTTGTATCAGACACTTGCTGCCAACATAACTTGTTTATTTAGAGTGAATTTGAATCACCGATGTTTTTTGTAATCATTGTATAGAATCACTCATTAAAACTTCATATCTTTGGTTACACGTTCACTTCTTCATTTGTTTTATTGATCTGTTCACTTTAACCAACTTATTAATAACATCTGGTTCTCTCTAGTTCTCTTATCTATCTATCTTGACTATTCAATTTCTCTCCTCCACACGCTCATTCTCTCTTTCACCTTCTCTCTTTCCTAATTCTCCATCTAACTCCCTCTAACTGCCTAACTGACTCCACTCTTCCTGTCCATTCATAGGCTCCTGCACTTGAGCTTCAGCTATGATTGACAGGAGTGATGTGGGCATAACCAGAACAGTTTCTATACTTTACTTTTTTTTCCCTCCTCCATCCTTTGGTCTCTGAGATACCATGTTGTTCTGTGTTCCCTTCCTGTTCCGAATCTCAGAATCAAAGTCCTGCAGAAGTTGGACCCATCTCATCAGCTTGTTGTTGTTTGCCCTTATAGTTCTTAGCCACAGAAGTGGGGAATGATTGGGGCAATGTGCAAAATGTCTTCCTCATATGTTTGGCCTGAGTTTCTGCAATGACCATGCGATGGCAAAGTGCAAAATGTCTTCCTCATATGTATGGCCTGAGTTTCTGCAATGACCATGCGATGGCTAGATACTCCCGTTTCATCGTGGACAAATGCCTCTCGCCTGCCTGCAGTTTCTTACTGAGATAGGTTACAGGATGATGGTTTCCTTCATCATCTGCTTGGCTCAACATGGCCAAAGGCCTCCTCGCAGTTGGCCATCCTGAGGATTTTATGCCCTACACCCTTGGCTACACCAGGCTTGTTAGAAAATATGTGCTTATATTTTTGCATTACAGCTCTGCTTTCTTCTTGTTGCTTGGGTGCTAGAGTAAGGCTAATTTGGACTTCCTCAGGGTTATACTGGTGTACACCTCTTCCTTCCCAATACCATAATTTAGGTTTTTCCCTGGGCACTTCTTTAATGGCATATAAGACAAAATTTTCTTTCCTATAATAAGTTTTAATCATATTTACATGCATCACTCTTCTCCCTTCTTCTCCCTCCTCCTGAATTATATAATTCACTTCGCTCATTTTAGAGACTACTCTAAATGGACCTGCCCAATTTAATTGGAGTTTATTCCCTTTAATAGGTTTTAACATTAGCAGTTTGTCTCCAGGATTGAATGTTTTTTTTCCTGGCCCTCTTATCATACCGGTGCTTTTGCTTTCCTTGATGGCTCTAAGTTTTCAGCTGCTAACTCAAGAGACTGCTGCATGGAATTCATCAGTGTGTCTATATATTGGATCACTGACTCAGGATCCTCCTTCTGGGGTACAGAACTATAAGCATACCATAAGGGTTGCAATTTATTATCCCAGTCATTTGGAATTTTAGTGGTATAAGCATGAATCATACACGTTATGGTCCCATTAAATTTCTTACCCAATCCATTAGTCTGAGAATGATAAAGGGATGCTGTGATGTGAGTGATTCCACAGACTCGCCACAACCTTTAATTAATTTGGATGTAAATGAGGTCCCCAAACTAAAGGGATGATGTGATGTGAGTGATTCCACAGACTTGCCACAATCTTTTCATTAACTTGGATGTAAATAAGGTCCCCAAGTCGGTAATTATCTCAGAAGAGCGGCCAATGAGCCACATATAATTTAATAATGCAGCTGCCACTGTCTCTGTTTCAATATTTCGCAAAGGAACAGCTTCCGGGTATCTGGTGACATAATCAGTTATGGACAAAATGAATCTATTTCCCCATCTGGTAACTTTAGGTAAGGGTCCCACTATGTCTAGGCCTGTTTGCTGATATGGAGTTGGGATGATTGGTAAAGGGCACAACTTAGCTTTGGTTTTATCATTCCCAGTACCCTGGCTTTGACATGTGCCACAACTTTGACAATATAAATTAACCTGCTCTTCCATCCCAGGCCAATAGAATTTTTGAGCAATTCTTTGCTTTGTACGTGTGATCCCTAAATGCGCAGCAAATGTATCTTTATGTTCCTTTTCTAAAATTCTTTCTTCGTATTTGAAGGGTACTATCAGTTGTCTGAGGATTCTCTCCCCTCCCCTACTAGGATTCACAAGAATTTCTCTGTACAATAGGTCTTCCTTCACACTATATCTTTCAGGGTTTTCAGGGGTCAGGGGCCCTTCCTTTTCTATAGCATTCACCTAAGGTAGGGTCATCTTTTTGTTCTCTTATGAAAGACAGATTACTAGGATTCCCCATATTGACTAGCTTAGCTATTTCATTCCCTTCTATTATTTCAAAATTCCCATGTTTTCCTCTGTGTCTTCAATTGGACTTCCCTGGAGCAAGTTGTTAATAAAAGACTCTGTACATGCTCTGATAAATCCAGGCCTATTAAAC